GTTTGACTTTTCAGAGTTAAAAAAAAAAAAGCAAAAAATTCAACCTTTCAAAATTCAAACTCAATATTTTCAGCAACTGAGATTCAACTGGCTCTATTTCACTGTCTTAAATTCGGCGTCTAAATTCAGTGTAAAAAGGGAAGGGTTACTTCAGGTCACAGACATTAGCAATGGATTGTGGCGTCCAACACCCAGCCAATCCCGTTACGGTTTCTCAGTCACGTGACGGGACGTTTTTGGCGCTCAAACTGAAGGGAAACCAGCATCATGGAGGCGGTCAAGCAAGCTAACGCTAACGCATCGGTGAGTTTATTGCTTTAATTTTTCTGTAGTATTGTAGCAAGTTGCTAGCCTCGTGAAACCATCCTGATCTCGCGAGCTTTCAAGGTTTTACTCGCAGATCAGTCTAATGACTGAAGAAAGGTTGGACGAAACATTTTCTGTATTTTTCTTACTATTTTTTCATAAAACACCTCAAAAGGAAATATAAATCAGCTCAAAAGCTGAATCAGTGAGTCAAAGACAATATCAAGCTCCTAGTATTAATCGAACAGGAATAAAAACCCTTCCTCATCACCTTCCTTCTCTCCAGTTTCCCTTAGCAGCTACTTTTGATAGTCTGATTAAATTTAGTGGGTTTATACCTATAGTGTTGGATTTAAACCAGCATAAAAACAGCTTAAAGATCATTATCCATCGAATGAAGAGCAGCTATTGGAGGAATCTGAAATGTTTTAGGTAGTTCCCCACATGCATGCAGCAAACACCAAACACAAGGGATGCTTATTTTTTTGCACACAACACCAAAAAAAAATAAAAACACTCTGGTAAAGAGATGCATCTGATGTTTATCTACTGGTGGCCAAAAATGCCATGTTGATCCAAGATCTATCTGTGGCTTCTTCCTGAGAAAGAAGCCTGTAAGCGTCGACCCAGAGAGTGCTTAATTTGGCGCTATTCCCCGACGCTTCTAACTAAAGCTTCTGCAAAGTTTGATGCTGCGTGTTGTTGCATATAAGCTGGTTTTAGGTCTATGTGTAGAAAAAATAAATAAATAAAAAAGAAGCTCAGGTCGAGGACTGCGGATGAACCTGATGAACTGCAAAAAAAAAGATATAAGTAACAGATAATCTGGAGGCCTAAAAATAGGCTTTTGATTTCAGCACTTCTTTATATGACTGCGTTGATTTTTTTGAGGTCCAAATATAATCATTGAAACTAATGTAGCTCTGATTAAAATGAAAGGAGATAAAAAGAACTTCCGTCAAAAATCAGTTGCATGGTTACGGTTACCATACGTGACCTTTGACCTCTGTTTTCTTTGCCATTTTTATGAGTTTACTCTCAATTATTTCTCCCTAGGTTACTGTGTTCTTGGTTCCAATGGAGGTCCCCCTCCGCCCCACTGTCACCCTGTGCTTTCTTCCAGCTAAAGATCAGACACTAGCTGCTGCAGCTCTGACTGTAAAGCAGGTTTATTAGCAGAATTACCACCCCTCTGCAGCCAGCTGCTTCACAGCAACACCAGATCCAGTTCTTTACTTTAAAAAAAACCATAAAGCACATTAAGATAAAGTTGATTTAAATGCATACTATGCAAAATTTTTCAGTTAATTAATGCGTTCCATAACGTTTTGGATGATTAAATGAGTCATTTCAGGTCGAACAAAGGTTTTCTCGGCCGCCCTGGTGGTCTGGAGGGGAAATACCGTACTTGCAATTGCAGGAGCCCTCGGCCCGCACCCACAGGCTCGAGTCGGTCTTGCTTTACGGCGAGAACTGCTACACGCCCCCAGTGAAAGGCATGCTCGTTGTTAGCGCAGTGGCGATATTTGTGCAGTTATCATGGCGGAACCAGCGAGAAAACAGCGAAAGCCCATGTCGGAGCAGGCAAGAAAGAGGAAAAGGGCTCTCTACCGCAGTAGACATGGTGATTCGTTGCGTTTGCCTGTCTGCTAAGCTCCAAACAACCGTGCCAGGAGAACAGCTGAGCATATTTACAACAGTGCACTTTTACTTTCGCCCTCTGGGGGGAGCCTCACTGGAAAATCAACACCGGTTGCATAGTATACCTTTAACAGAAATATAAATCTGTAATAAAATCCCAACGTGTAAATAGTGGATTTGAAACTGAAAAATCAAATTTTTCCAATCAAGAGTATGCACCACAATGAAAACCTCCCTGTTTGACAGAAAAACAAGAAATAACTCAATAAGCAAGTTTTAAGATCCAGTTTTAAAAGTGTAGTTTTCAAACAGCTCTATATGTTTCTGCTCCATAAAAACAGGATCTGCTGTTTTAATACAGCCGAATGCGCATCAAGAAGGCAGAATAAGTTCAGCTTGTAGGTATGAGATAATATTTACAGATATTATGCCATCTGATCGGCAGTGCACAGCAATGGCAACTAAAAGAAAAATGTAGAGAAAAACGAAAAGAAGCCTCGCGGCTCTGCACACATCCAGACTGGATCCTCCGCTCTCTGGAATTCCAGTTATGGCCTCTGGCTTCCACCCAACTCTCACTCAGGCACCTGTTTAATCAGCATCTTCTGCCGGTCATTAGCTTTTACAGCGACCGTTGTTTATGAGGCGCTGGGAGGAAAACGACATTGCACCAAAAATCCATCAGTGTGACAGATGAGCTCAATTACCCCTCCTTCCCCCAGTTATCTTTTTTATGCTGAGCTCATCGTTTCCTTAACGTGCAAAGCTACGGTTGACCCCATCGAGCCGTCAGAGGAAAGAAAAGAAAAGCAGGAGAGGATTCCGTCTTTTCTCTTCCTGCAGCGCTGCTGCCATGTTCCATGTAGATATGAAAATAAAAAAACTTTTAAAAAAGCGTCACCGATTTCTGGTAAGAAAAAAAAAAAAAAAAAATGTCACCTCCAGAAAGAAGAAGTCGCCTCCATATTCTGAGGAAGTGACACTACATTTACAGACTGGACTACAAACCCTATGGTTGAACCGGACGCCGTCCCGTTTCCTTTAACGATCCCCTTCCATGCTCCTGCACCTGTTGGACAAACCGGTCTGGGAAAAAAGACGCATTGTCTTTCTGAATTCACCCCCCCCTCCTCCTCTTTTCTCTATCTCTACTGTCCTTCCTCCAACCCAACAGGATGTAGCTCTGTGACAACAGAGCTACGGCTGCATGGAGACATGTAGAGGCAGGCCGGAGGGACAAAGCTTTACAGAGGAATCACAAAAAAAACAAGAGAGTGATACGATCTCGCCGCACACGGGGAGAGCGGTTCGCACAGGCCTAAATCCCCCCCCCCCAACGAATACAAATAAAAAAAACAGCATCTGAACATGGCTCCTTCTGCTTTTTGCATTGCAAGTCTGGCTTTTATAACTGATGGATGGACGCATGCAGAGAAAAGGATGAAGACGGACAATCTGAAATATTCCGGTGCATTTAAATACTGGAATATAGGGGAATTTTGTTCCATTATTGCTGCAAGCAGAGAAGATGGTGTGTAAATAGATATTTGGCAGTAATCCGGTGTTCTATCAGATCAGCATACCCGTTTATCCTTTTATTTTTGGATGAAAATACCCTACCTCAATGGGCGTTTATTCCTTTAGTCATGTACAAAAAAAAAAATAATTATTTTTTGGTGTTTTTTTTTTAAGCGTATGGCGATATTACCTTCAATTGTTGTTTTTTTTTACGTGACTAAAGGGACACACGCCCGTTAAAGGTAGTTTACAGTCTATGTTTCGTGCAAAACGAAAGGGATAAACTCAAATCTGACATCTTGCGCATGCATATTGCCTATAGATATTGTATATAAAATGTTTATAAAAAAAAAAAAAAAAAAAGGTTAGAGTGTAATTTTGCCGTTTTCACCGTTTTTTGTAATGTTTTATTTTACTAAATTTAACTCACAAAAAATTACTTTTTATATCTCAATTTTTTTTATCTTGATTTTATAATTACTTCTTTTTTATCTCAATTTCTTTTTTTTATAAAATGCGTTTTCCAGATCACATTCTGAGGCAAAGACGCATTTCTATTGGTTGACTGGATGTCAGCCAAACTAATTGGTCAAGAGCGAGAGTTTGTATTCAATTTGAAGGGAAGATAATTAAATTTAAATGGAAAACTCTGTAATTCAGTTTGAAAAACAGAAATTGGAAAAATCGAAAATGACGAAAAAACTAAATTAGAAAATATACAATCTGTGAAAAACTAAAAAAAAATAGCAAAGTTACTGTCAAAATCTTATTTCTATGAAAACTTTCATTTTCATTGACAAAAGATGTATTTTTTTGCAACAGTAATGTAACAAACGTCACTCCAAGGAGCCGCCTCCTCCTAAAGCGTCAAAGTCCAACAGATGAGTCCTGAAAGGTGCTGATACCAGGTTATCCAAGTCCTGACCTTTGCTCTGGAGCAAGGCATTTCTCTGCTCCATAACAGCTTATTTGAAGCCTGCGGTCTCTTCCACCAAGGCCTACGTCTGTCAGTATGTAGGTCATGTGACTGGATGTCCATAAATTAGGGTTAGCAAACCGCTGATCTGTCATCAAATTAGACCGCAATTATGAAAAAAAGCCTGTATATAACAGCTGATCCCCCCCCCCCCCCCCCCCCCCCCCCCACAGAGGAGCGGTGTTCAACTCCAGCCTCCTGCAGAGTTTAGATGCTTCCCTGTTTCAACAAACAAAATCAAAGGAATGAGACTTTTTTTTTTTTTTTGTCAGGCAGAGAACTGGACGAGCTGAGGGGTCCTGCTCTTCATTCAGTCCTTCAGGAGCAGAGAAACCTGCAGGATGTCGCTGAAGCCTAGAACCTTTCTACCTGAAACTCCCATCTTAGGATTTTTTATTTTTACTTGGTCAGGGAGACACATCTACCTGTCTGAGTTCTCTTCCTGTTCATGAAGCTGCAGCCATGAGGAGGTTAAGGTTAAGGTTAGACATGATGGTAAAGGATCCACAGAAACAGGTGGGGGAAGGGCAGCTACAGCTGATAGATATGAAGGACTTACTGTTGTTGGACTTGAGATCCCGGTGGATGACGGGGACGATGGCCTCGTTGTGCAGGTACACCATCCCTCTGGCGATCTGCACGGCCCAGTTGACCAGGACGTGAGGCGGGATGCGGCGGCCGGCCAGCGCCCGGCTCAGCGGTCCGCCCGAGGCGTACTCCATGATGAGACACAGGTTGGGCTCCTGCAGGCAGACGCCCTTCAGGGCGATGATGTTCTGGTGGGTGAGCATGGCGAACAGATGCGCCTCCTGCCTGACGTTCTGCGCCGTCACGCTGATGTCCTCGTCCGGGTCTTGGCGGGCCGCCTTCACCGCCACCAGCTCGCCCCGCCACGTCCCGCGGTACACTTTCCCGAAGCCCCCGACCCCGATGACCTCCTCCAGGCTCAGCTCTCGGAAATCCACCTCCTCCGGATCGACGTTGCCCACCACGGCGCGGTTCAGCTCCTCCACCACGCTGCTTCCTGGCAGCTTGGCGTATCCGCTGGCGAAGGAGCCATAGTTGGACGGGAAGATGCCCACCTTGTTGTTGACCTTCCCGGCCCACCAGCCCTCATCCCCAGATATCTCGGAGTCCTGCGAGAGGACCTCCACCAGGTCACCTTTACGCAAGGTGAGCTCATCCTTACAGGAGGCCTCGTAGTCGAACAAGGCCGTCCAAACGGGGTTGATGAAGTTCCCTTTTTTGGACTGCTCCAGATTCTTCCAGTTGGACAGCGAGCTCCGACCGAATATGTTCTTCAGCGGCTCCATGGAGCCTCCGCTAGATGACCCGACCGGACGCTCCGGGGGCCTGAGAGTAAAGAGTACTTTATCACACCTTGCTCCCTTTCCTGTTGTCTCATCAGGGACCAAGGAGATGAGGTCAGAGGTCAGCCCAACCGCCGGGCCGTAGATTCAGGGACAAAAGGAAACCAATCGCCTCACAAACTCAAATCTTCTCATCTCTGGCTTCCTCAGACCTGTATGGAATCTCAGAGGCAGCAGTCTCTGTAACATTGATGAGGTGTGTGGTTTCCCTGCACATGGTCTGACTACATTATCAGCTTCTGGAATCAAGTCATCATGGCTGATCTGCTCCTACCCCCCCTCCCTCCATCCATCACCACCTGTTACAGCTTCCAACTCTGAAGACTCTAAACTTTAGGACTAAAGCTGCTTCATAAGACTCAGAAATCACAGTTTCTCACACACTCGGACGTCCATGTTGAGTTTTTTCTGTATTTTTAGCCATTAGGAGCAGGGGCCACCAGCAGCAGGAAGCGCAGAGGAGGAGAAGAATAGCAGGAAAAGGAGCATTCACTTCAGCCAACCACTGTTTTTACGACAACCTTCAAGCTCTGACCGCTCTTCATTATTTAAGCCCGAGGATCCAGAAAGTGCGCCTGAACGCAACACTGCGGTGGCCACACAGGAAATCCCGCATTCCCGTGCGCCGCAACATCCATGCTGGCTGTGTTATGAAGGAGCTCTGGGAACAGGAAGAGCTCTCCAAACCTGCTCGACTTTAACCGCCTGAGAGAGAGAGGAAAACTTCAAGAAAAAAACAAAACAGCCGTTAACTTTTAGTCCCTGTGGAGAGTTGAGCGCCGGGCAAACAGAACTTCGGCGGTCGGTTTCATAGAGGCGGTAGCAAGCGGCGGTCCTGCTCCGTGGGGAGTCGCAGCTCCGCTCCTCTTCCTCGGTCAGCTCCTCGGACCACTCCAACGTCGCTGCTTACAACCGCTGCTGAGGGTGGGGTTTCAGAACTTTTCCTCTCCTGACAGGAAACACGGTCAGCTGACAAGCCGCGGCCAATGGCGACCGAGTAAATACAACCATTTCCGGTTTCAAAAAATAAAAGGCTCGAGCGCAACAGTTGGCAAAAGCCAGCCACGGTAAAAGCCCGTGCGCGTCCGCCATCTTGTGAGTGGCAAATTCTCGTCGGAAACCAGCTCCAAATAAAAGAACAATTTAAAAAAAGTTTCTTACTAATGAGAGACGTATTGTAAGGACGACTAAGATACAAATAACAATAAATTAAATATATAAAAATTAAAGAGAGCCGTTATAACCAATTTAAAATCGATTGGAATTTAAATAGAATTGAATGTAACTTTACCTGTAGAATTAAATTATTTTTCTTTTCAAATGTTTTTGATTTAATCTTATTGTTCCAGATCTTAAGGAAAGAAAAACGGTAAAAGTCTATGCAGTAACAGGTTTGAGATCATTTATTATGTTAAATGGACATCATATAAATACAAATAATAAAAATAATGACTGATAATTATTAGATGTATGTTTATTTCTTTAATAAAGGTGACAATATAAAATAGATCTATAAAGTTCTGGATGCATAATTCCTCCTGTCATGTATTGTACTACTATGGTCTCTAATCTGATACTTATTCACTTTATGCTTCTATATATCTAAGAGAAGAAAACTTTTTCCAAGCAAAAAATTGGTCTCCTATTTTGACACAATAGGCCTACTGATTCCATGGGCGGTTCCAGACAGGGGCCACGGCCCCCTTTAAAACTGGTCCTGCTCCGTTATGGCGCCATGCTGAAATCTGCAATAAATTAAGAAAATGATGGCTCCCTTGGACCATTTTTTTCTTCGTTTTATTTAAGCAATAATGGGGGGGGGGGGGGGGGGGGGGGAATTAAGTTGTTGCACTTTTAGCTTTTATGCATATCTAGATATCATGGTTTTTTTAGAGCTACAAATGGATTTTTGGTTCACTTAATATTTCAAATATTGAACCATTGTCCTGTTTTTTTTCCCCACTAAAAATAATGACTCCTTAACTTTCTTGTCCAAATATGAAATCTAAAGAATATTTGACATATTATGTAACTAATTCTTTGGTTTATCTGGGGGACTGCTCTATAAAAGGAAGGAAACCAAATAATTTTAATTTAAACAACCAAAAAAAACCTTTTATGGTCGCCTAATGATGACTCTTATTTTGAAATGTGCAGCATCACTTCTGGTTCCTGCAGTTTGCCTCATTTGCATAAACCCATGACCTAAAATAACCAGAGACAGAGTAAATCAACTTTTTACAAGAAAAGAAGATATTATACCACAAAGAAAAAATTTATTTGAACCTTTAGAATTTCAATAAGTTTATCTTAAGATGAAGAATATTTATTTATTTCTACTCCAGCAGTTGTAGTTTCAAACAGGGCCAGATTGTTTTGAATAACATTTTAAACATTAACAAATCAGGAGACCTATAGTGACTCTGGAGGAGCTGCAGAGATCCATAGCTAACGTTGGAGAGTCAAAACTAAAGCATGTACTCTACAAATTGGGTCTTTAGGGAACAGAGGACAAGAGAAAGAGGATGTTTTAAAGGATGACACAAGAGGCAACACCTGGAACCAGGAGGAAAAGGGAAGGTCGACCTCTTATATGCATTTCCCTACCAGAGTGGCATACAGTGAGGAAGGTTATGGCAGCATCATGCTGTGGGGTGATGGTGATTTTGCAGAAAATATGCTGCTGAAGATTCTCATTCATCCAGGTCATATTCGTTCCAAAAAAGTAAAAAAAATAAATAAATAATCCACTGGACTTTGTTTTCAAAGTCTGAAGACGTTTTGCTTTCCATCCAGGAAGCTTTTTTTTTCCAATTATCAATTCAGAAACAACGTTGAGTTCGAGGCTTTATACAGTAGCCCAACAAAGCAGTAATGTGGCTTAGAAATCATGCAAATTAAAACCGACAAACGGGTCCACCCCTTAGTAATGGGGGTCGTTTGGGTTCTTTGTTTGCCTGCAATGCCCCATACCCGTCAATGTCTCTGAAAGGGGCATCGTTAAAGGGAATTGTTGGCCTGGCTGAACAGTTGAGGTCTTCTGTTCCCCTGTAAAGCGGTTGGGGTTGCGATGATAACGGGAAGGAAACCTGCATTGTAGGTTTTTGGAAGCTGATATCTGAGTCCACCCCCTCTGTTTAAGGTTGGATTTTCTTTTTTAACATAGTGTTAACATTTATGTTGGGCTACTGCAAAAAGCCTCAAACTCAACACTATTTCTGACATTTTGAATTAAAAAAGCTTCCTGGATGGGAAGCAAAACGTCTTCACACTTGGAAACAAAGTCCAATGGATTGTTTTTTTTTACTTTTTTGGATGGGGCCGCCTTTTACAGCTGCTTTTTGTATATTTCCTTCTGTCTCCTTGAACCCCAGTGGGCCTAGGCAGATGGCCGCTCACACTGAGCCTGGTTCTGCTGGAGGTTTCTTCCTGTTAAAAGGGAGTTTTTCCTCTCCACTGTCGCTACAAGCATGCTTAGTGTGAGGGATTGTATTTGAGTCAATGAGTCGAGATAGAAAACTTTGAATCAATTTGACTGTATGATCTGGTTGAACTGTAGAGTGACTTGAGATGACATGTGTTGTAAATTGGTGCTATAGAAATAAACTGAATTGAATTGAACTTTTTTGCAGGAAAGAATGTCAAAGATTATTTTAATCTAATACTTTAAAAACAAAAAGAGAGAGAGGCCAAATGTGATCACTTTGAGACCGATGTGAAGGTTTGACCGTCCTAAAGACCCAAAATAAGAAATACTAACCTGTCCCATAAAATCGTAATAAAAAACTTTAAACTCCAGGAGTTCAAACAAAACTAAATGTGACCAAGTTTGTTTCTGATTCAACTTTTTATTTTTTTTACAGCATTTTACTGAAACCTGCGAACAATCGGACTATAAAACCCAGCCTAATGGGGACATAAAGCTCCACAGAGGGCCATGTGAGCACCTGAAGGCCTCATCTGTGTCACATTACTGTCTGCAATGAAGAGCAGAACACAATGAACATTTCATTCCAGAAAAACACTGGAGAATCCCTTCTTTTAACGTTTCCTCTTGTTATTAAAAAAGAAAACTGCAGACAACCTAAAAGACAGTAGCTTGATGGGAGCGGATGGGAATCAGAGGGGCCACCTTTGGCCCCTGTTGGCTGCTGTGTGGAAACAGTGTGCTTCCTTCGTTTTGGCTCGCCTTCCCTTCCCTCCCCCTTACCCTGCTGCTCCTCTTTGTTTGAACGGCGATCCTAAAGTCAACCACCCAAACACTGATCCCACCCTCCTCTGCTTCCCCCCCAACAATCACACACACACACACAGAAGCTCCACCCTCCTCCCAGTCCGCTGAGTCAACTCTTGTGCAGGAAGGATGCAGTTGTTTTTGTGGCACCAAATCCAAGTCGCCTCTTTGGTTGGTTGGTAAAAAAGCATGTGTTAACAAAATAAATATGGCCGTAGGAAGAGGAAATGGGCTGAAGACACTCCACCCACGGTTCCAGAGGTGACGACAATAGCCCCAGCTTCTCCTCCAACCTGTGCTGTCTTGTACTTATCTGATTCAAATACCAGGAGAGGAGGCTGCAGATAAACGCTGGCTGTTGTATTACAGGTTGCGTGAGTCACAAGCAGCACGACAGCATGAGCTGCATCCAAGGGAACTTGTCCGTGTTGCAAAATTCAAAGGGGAGGCACATCAAAAGGAGGCGCATAAAAAAAGGAGTTGAGGTTACAAATGATGTGATGGTTGTGAAACTGCAAAAATGAAGGAGGAAGCAGATGGAGGCAGTGTGCCAAAAGATGCCACAGGACCTCCTCCGGAGGGTGGGAAAAAAACCGACAGGCCAAAATATGGACACCGCTGCTCATTTCTAATCAACTGGAGGGAAAAACCTTGATCTATACAACAGACTCTATTTAATTTAATTCAATTCAGTTAATTTATATAGAACCAATTCCCAACACATGTCATCTCAAGGCACTTTACAGCTTAAACAGATCATGCAGTCAAATTGATTCAAAGTTTTCTATCTAAGGAAAACCAGTTGATTGCATCGACTCATTGACTAGAAGGCAATCCCCACACTAAGCATGCTTGTAGCGACAGTGGAGAGAAAAATTCCCTTTTAACAGGAACCCCTTTAATAATATAACCTTTGGACATTTTATTAATTTTAATGGAAAAGACTCAGATCAACACTAAAATATTCCCAGTCTGTTGGAAGATGTTTCCCTTGGATCCTGCTCATTTAATTCTATTGGATGTTTGTCAAGTAAGAGATAAACTGAATTCATTGAATTAAAACCAAGTGACATACGGCGGTGGCAGCATCATGCTGCGGGCAGTGGGAGCAGTGGTTTCAGACCGAATTTCCCACCCGGGGCAGTGTTTTGTCAAAACAAAAGAATTAAACACATAAAATGATTAAAAGTACATCGTTAGTATATGAAGTTAAAAGAGAGTTTTTCATCTCCACTGTCGCTACAAGCATGCTTAGTGTGAGGGATTGCATTCAAGAGTCGATGCTTAAATTGGTTTTCCTTCGATAGAAACATTTGAATCAATTTGACTGGATGATCTGGTGAACTGGAAAGTTCCTTGAGATGATATGTTGTGAATTGGCACTTTAGAAATAAACTGAATTGAATTAAGTGATCCTAAAATCCAAGGCTGTGGACCCCTGGTCTAATATGTCAGTAAGGAACTTTAAATCAGAGACCATAAAAATCGGTTCCTCAAGGCTCTATTCTGGGGTCCCTCCTATTCAACATCTACATGCTTTCCTTAGTTATAGCAAACAATAACTATGCAGACTTAGACAACTCTTATACGTACCTAGGTGTTCATCTGAATAATAAACTGGACTCAAAACAATGAGGCTCTGCATAAGAAAGGTCAGAGCAGATTGTTCCTGCTGAGGAAACTGAGGTCTTTTGGAGTGCAGGGGGCGCTCCTAAAGACCTTCTATGACTCATCTTCTATGGAGCTGTCTGTTGGAGCAGTGGCTTATCCGTAACGAGAGAAAGCGGCTGGATCAGCTGATCAGGAAGGCCAGCTCTGTGATTGGATGCCCTATGGACTCAGTGCAGGAGGTGGGAAACAAAAGGATCCGAACTAAATGAACATCTGTTGGATAAAGTCTCCCACCCCATGAATGAAACTGGTGCAGAACTGGAGAGCTCCTTCAGTGACAGACTGCTGCACCTTAAATGCACCAGGGGGCGTTATCACAGATCCTTCCTCCCAGCAGCTGGAAGATTAATAATAATGACTGAACTTTATTGATCTCACATTGGAGAAAATCACTTTTGCATTTAACCCATCCCCTTGGGGAGCAGTGGGCTGCCATTGTGCGGCGCCCAGGGAGCAGTGTGAGGTTAAGGGTGTTGCTCACGGACCCAGTGTGCCGGCTGTCTCGATTGAACCGGGTACTTGCAACCTTCTCAGAGCACAGCGCCCTGCTCTAACCCCCTAGGCATAGGTGGATTAATGACCGGGCCTACCGGGCCCAGGCCCAGGGGGCCAGAGGCCCCAAGGGGCCAGGCCAACTTGGCCCCGCGGCCGCGACCCAAGCAAAACTACTTTTGCAAAAATAATAATCTTAGGCCCCAAGGGGCCAGGCCAACTTGGCCCCGCGGCCACGATCCACAGAGGGCCTGAGGTCCTAAGGGGTCAGGCCAACTTGGCCCCGCGGCCATGATCCATAGAGGGTAAGAGGCCCCAAGGGGTCAGGCCAACATGGCCCCGCGGCCATGATCCATAGACGGTCAGAGGCCCCAAGGGGCCAGGCCAACTTGGCCCCGCGGCCACGATCCATAGACGGTCAGAGGCCCCAAGGGGCCAGGCCAACTTGGCCCCGCGGCCACGATCCATAGAGGGTCAGAGGCCCCAGGGGGCCAGGTCAACTTGGCTCCGCGGCCACGATCCATAGACGGTCAGAGGCCCCAAGGGGCCAGGCCAACTTGGCCCCGCGGCCACGACCCACAGAAGGCCAGAGGCCCCAAAGGGCCAGGCCAACTTGGCCCCGCGGCCGCAAGCCACAGAAGGCCAGAGGCCCCAAGGGTTTGGCTAACTGTGTCATGTCTCTGTTGGAAAATCTAGGGTTAGAGCTGTCAAATTGCAGGGGGCAGGCTTATGATAATGCCAGCAACATGTCAGGGAGGTATAATGGGTTGCAGGCTCACTTAAAGAAAAGCAACCCATTAATACACTATATTCCATGTGCAGCTCACTCTTTGAATTTGGTGGGAGTCAACAGCATTGACAGATGTGGAAATGAAGTCTCTAAGTATTTTGACTTGATTCAGTCTATTTACAACTTCACAACTGCATCCACACACCGATGGGACAGGGTATTTGGCAATTCCAACATAGATCTCACACTTAAAGCTTTATCCAACACGCGTTGGAGTTGCCGTGCAGAATCTACCAAAGCACTGTGGCAGAACTACAGTAATTCAGTTTTTCAGTTCCCAACTTCTTCAGTTTGTAGTCCACCTTGCCACATTGTCTCTCCATCCCAATGTTGTGCACAGGGGTGTCATCAATGTTACTAGCCTGTTCACTGACAGGGTCCATTGGGAAGGTCTCCTCATCCTTCCTCTGCCTGGCCAGGACAGTCTTCAGATGGGGCAGCATGAGATCTGTCAGCTGCTTCACTTCATCCAAGTATTCGGCACCCACGTCTGACACTAAGTTCAGGACATGTCCAGTGCCTGTCCAGCCACTATAGCATTCTTGGAAATGGGCTATCTTGACCTGCATGCAGCCCTTGTACCATGAACTGGCCTACACCTTTCTTTGTGGTGCTCTCCGATGCATGTTATCATTTTACCTTTCTCCTTCTCCTCAAGCTTAACCACAAATAGATACAGACTTTGAGCCTCAATTTGCTGCACAGCTGCCGTTATGCCAAAGTGTTTTCCTAAGATATTATTTTATTTTTAATGATAGAAGGGAGGAAAAGGGGGCAAAAATCATGTCCGATTTAGTTTTTTGGGTGGGGTGGGGGGTTTATTTCATGATAGCTACCAACTTCCAATACATAATATCTCTCAAATGACCCAATGCACCATCACTGAAGTGGGCATAATCATTTTCCAAAATGTTTATTTTTAGGCCATTTATCCCCTCCCCCTGTGTCTGTGTGAAACCTGTGCTTGTCAGTGTCTGTGTGGTATACCTAATAATTTGTGTGCAGTATGTGCACTCTTCTGTAAAGGGCAGTGTGCATGTCTGTTCACAGTATACAGTATTTCTTGCATAGCGTGTGTGTGCGCCCGCACGTGCCGGGGGTTGAGGGGCCAAGACCATGTCAGGCCCAGGGGGCCAAAATTTCTTAATCCGCCCCTGCCCCTAGGCCAATACTCCCATAGCTAGAAACCAAGAATTATGGCCGACATCTTAGTTACATGATGGACGGAATGGACTGAAAACGTTTAACCGCACTAATCCTGATTATCTATTATTTTAATTAATTGTCATAGGATTTTTTTAATCGAATAGTACTTTTTTGCCCTGTAAGCTCCTGGTAACCTTAATTTCCGAAGGTAGTCTTCCCAAGGGATCAATAAAGTCTGTCTAAGTCTAATCATAAACTGGTGTATGATGACTATAAAACATGTCATAAGCTGAGGGAGCAGACACCTAAAAGAGAGGTAATTATACTAAAATTGTAAAAAGTAAATAAACATTTTGCTTTTAGGATGAAACGCCATCAGTGTGCTCTTATCCAGAATCCAGATCCTGCTTTCAATTCTGAATAAAATCTGCTTCAAGGAACCAAATTCTATCTGATTAATAAATCAGAAAACTTATTTATTAGCAAAATGATCTTTAGTTGCAGCCCTACTGACAGAGCAGCGTCGCTACACAGTGTTATGACTAGGAAGCTGAATGCCACACTTTTCAGATCTCTGAAGAAAATAGTGATCCTAAAACTATAAAGGATCCAGCAGACAAAAGAATTTAAAGTCGTAGGGAAATCATATTTAAATGTTAAATCATGCTGGCTTAAACATGTATATAAATGTTCTCTTTATCAGATTTATCAAATTTAGAAATTTTCTATTTTTAAAAAAATCCTGTCTTCAAATCTGTTGGGGTTTTTTTTTTTTCCTTCGTTATTTTCTGCAGGCCAGTTAGTTCTACGTCAGCCCGAACACCTAAATTCGTCCAATCAAATATCAACGGTCATCTGTCATTCACATTTTTTCGGTCATAGCATCTTGATTCATATGTCGCAGCTAAAATACGCAACGGTTGAAATCAGAATCCTTTCCTTTCCCATTGAGTTGCGTCCCAGTGTTCACGGGGATGGACGTGTGTGTCTTAGGCAGGCGTAGAGCTAACAGAACTGGCAGCGTTGCGAGGCAAGGGCTCAAACATGTACGGCTGGAAGCCTTCTACACCAAACCAAGCTTCTGCCGCCCTGGCGTCCTCTTCCACAACATCTTCGTCCCGCTTTCCTCCTCTAAATAAAAAATGGATGACGGAGGAGACTCATCCACGACCTCCGACACTAAACTATCCTCCTCTTGCATGTTTCCGCTGTCCATAGCGTTCCTTGACAGTGTCGTTTCTAAGTCACCAATTTAGTGCTACTTGGTCCCAATGGAATTACCCATTGGGAACCTACTAGCACTAAGATGCTAACTGGTTAGCAAGATGCTTCTGAGACACCGGCCACAACCAAACTTGCTTGCAAACCTTCCACCACAACAATCCCGCCCCCTTGATAAACGACCGATCACATTCACTTTTTTCACTCGTGTAAAGTCGTGCACCACTTGAGAGAATTCAGAAATGCAACCTTTTCGCTACGACTTTAAAGTTCCTGTTTAGAAACTTGGACATTAATTCAAATGGTGAGCAGCCATCAAACAGTTTGGATTCAGCTACGAAGAAAGAAACAAGAGTCGTCTTTTCTTTTCCGTTCATTTAAATTGAAATGTGAACTTTTATTTCACCCATACAAAATAAAACAAACATTAAAAGTTTACAATACAGAGTAATCTGTTTGCAACCACTTAATGAAGAGCTCGGTGCATAAATGGGATTCCCGTCTCTGGGTTCATTTAAAAAGAATCTAAAAGAAGGAGAACCGATGTTAAAGATAGAGGAGCAAAGTTTGACACCGTGCTAAGTTTCCAAAATAAAAGGAAAACCGACTTTAAAACAAAAGAAAATAAACAGCTGGATATGTACAGGCAAGCGAGGAGAAAATAATGACTGGAAAAAGGAAAACAATGATATAAATGCTAACCAGTGGCAGCTTTTTTAAATTAAAACAGTAATCATAAACCTGTAGATGTGCAGCTTTATTGATAAAAACTCAATTAAAAGTGGCGACTAAATTTGAAAAAAAGGAAATAATCCATGGTTTGTGAATAGAGGGTAAAAAAAAATTTAAAAAATCCCCCATAAACTTCTGCCTTGAACTCATCTCACCTAATTCCCCTCAATCTGAACATTTAAGCTGCAGTGAGGGCTGAGCTTCCACTTCTTTCCAGCCAAACTACAAGCCGGAGGACCCAGGTTTGTTTTTTATAATATCCAATATAGAGAAATATATATATATTTAAAGAAAGTGTACAAAAAATAAAAGAAAACAGGAAAAAAAAAAAAAAGTTTTGAGGCGAAACAAACACACCTGCCCTGTGTGCTGCGGCTTAAAGCTCGGCCATCTTTACTGGTCACAAAAAAAATAAAAACTAAATAACAAAGACTATGCTAAAAAACAGCCCCCATCTCTACATTAAAATAAAAGCTTTTTAAAAAAATTAAAACACCTAATATACAACAAGTTTTGTTTCTTACAGCTTTTCTGCCGGTTGGCTGTGATGAAGAGGAGTTCTCTTCACTGCTGGAGCAGCCGCCAAAGAGTCAACTTAAGAATGGGAAAATAATGCTGAAAGACGCGTCTGTGTGAGGGAGAAATAAAGAGAGGAAGTCCGGGGCAGCTAAGAGTCGTAGTCTTCGTCGTCGTCGTCCTCGTTTTTGTGCGGCACGGGCGCTGGGGGGGGCGGCGCGATGCTCACCATGGAAGGATGAGGAGCGAAGGCCACGGTGCTCGGGGCCTGTGCTGGAGGCAAGATGGCTGCCGGCACCATGTTGCCCATGTGCACCAACTGGGAGGGGGGGTTTGAGCTGGGGGGGGGGGCAAACACAGAGGTTAAGCGGCCGTTACAGAATGAAACAAAAGTATGGAGACAAATCCGCTCCATTATTGTTGTCATCAAAGAAAAGGTTATATGGATATTGGAGGAAATAAAAACAGAAATAAAAATTTGAAAGATGTCTTAATTAACAAGTTTTGTGAGTAACTATGCTGCTTTCTCAGATTTTATTTAATTTTCTTATATATTTTTTTTTGTTTTTCAGATTGGTTTTTACAAACTCATTGTTTTTTCAAATTGTGTTTCACAGACAACCTGCTCTTCACTTCAAACACAATATAAACGCTTGTTCTTCCCACACATTGATCAATAACAGTGTTGTCACTGACATCCATCACTGACATCCATGCAGACCAATAGAAACGCTTCTTCATTCCAGAGGAATGCCCGCCCCCAGGAGTTAAGAGAATGTGACCTGAAAAAAGCTAATTAAAAGAAATTGTAAGTTCTAAAACTTAATCTAAAAAAAAAAAAAAAAAAAAAAGACATTCTGAACAGAAAAAATGTCTAAAAAAGGTATTTATATACACATATATATACAAGCTTTTTAGAAAATTAATTAATAAGTTTATACATTTTTTTAAACTCTGAGAAAACAGCACAATGACTCAAGCATGAAACTTTTTTTTTTTTTTTTTCAGCTTCTTTTATGGATTTCTTTTTTCTTTTTAACAAATTTTCATTTACAAAAAGTTCTCTTAGCTTGCAACAACAATGGAACAAATTTCACTCCATACAAAAACAAATTGTGTCCTTGGATGTGTTTGGATTAAACAAAATCAGAGGAACTGGAATGTTCTACGGCGGTTCCACTGATCTGGGCCCAGTGATCTACATCAACCTAAATGCTAAATCTCATAAAGTAAGAAAAGTCGATGTAAACGGTCCTAACAGTCGCTTAATGATGTCATCACCTAATCAGAATATTTGTTAATGCTTTGATCCAGGGGTAGGAAAGGAATATTAACATCAACAAAGACTGTAAATAAAATAATTTCTCTAAAATGTCCCTTTAGCTGACAGAGCAACTGACTAAGAGGAGATTTTTTTTAAATTTATGATAAAAAATGTTTTCTTCCATCAATAAGCTCCATCAAGAACTGCTCAAGTGGAAAAGTTGTAGTTTCACCTGATTTAATTTCGTATACTATCTGATTATTAATTCTAAAAAATAATCGACAGATTAATCGATTTGCAAAATAATCGTTAGTTGCAACCATAGTAGAAACTAATAATTCTCGCCCTGCAAAAAAATGAAATCTAAATAAGTATTTTCTTCTTAAAATAAGTGCATTTTTTTCTTGAATTAAGGATTTAAGTGAGACCCTTTGCCAATGGAACAAGACAATTTACACTTAAAATAAGAAAAAACAATTGCATTGTCTTATTTCAAGGGCATTTTATCTAGACACCTTATTTTAAGAGTAAAAATTCTAATTCCATTGGCAAATCATCTTATTGACCTGCTCAAATTAAGAGTAAATACCCTTAATTTAAGACATTTTTACTCATTTTGAGATCATTTTTGCAGTGGCGGTCTTGCAGGAGGCTCCTGCAGTGGAAGACAGAGCCATACCATCTGATAAACAGTTTAAATACTTCTCTTTTATAAAAATCTGAGGGCAGGAGAGAAAAAACAGATCATATGATGTGTTGATTTTAGACAAAGACAACAGCAGCGATTCTACTTGTAGAAAGTGGACGATTCTTCTTAATAAGAAGTTAGAAGTCGTGTAGTTGAGTTTGGGCTAACTGGCCAAGCTAAAAGAGGCTAACCTGTTAGCACAGCTAGGGAGAGCAGATAATTAGTCCATCAGAAGAACTTCTGTTTGGTTTTGCATCAGCGATCATTAAACACGTCAATACTTCTGCTTCTCCGACTCGTTACACTGACGTTATAACGGTTGTCCAGAGCAACTGCAGTTTTACAGGCGGTTGCTGAATCCACCAATGAATCGGGGAACGCATGCGCATTTTGGCCGATGCAAGAAAAAAAAAGTGCAAATATCAGCTAAAAATATGGATGTTAGCGTCTCTGTACTTCAGACGCTGCGATGTTGGCTGTGCTGAAAAGCTGCAGCTCAGACGAGCAAGATGGAGAGCAGCTGGAAAAGATCCAAAAGAGTTTTCCTCCATGATCATTTACCTTCATCCGTCTTTTATGAAAAGCATCACAGCAATAAAGGAAAAAAAATCATGATAATTTCTATGTGCTGAACAGTTTCTGTTTAAAGGAGAAGTCCGGTCGTATTCAGAATTCAAACTTCTGAAAGTTCTTTAAATAAGAAATTGTAACATACTGTTTAATAAATGATAAGTTTTTAATTAAGAGTACTTTAATTTGAATGTGCTTTACTGGAGGCATCCATGTTTGTCAAAGAACACTACTGCCACCTACTGGTTTGTGACGTCACGGTGCGGTATCGGCTGTTGATCAAGTCCCAGTGCTGTATCTGGTTTTTGTCACAACGCGCTATTATCCAAGTCATCTTGAAAACATTCTTCTTCCAAATGTTGGCTACATATTACGGGTTTTTTCTGATGGCAAAACCGCCCTCTTTAAGTTGGCAAACCAACGACGAACCCGTCTGTGGAGGATCAGGAATCGGAAAGGTGAAATAACTTTCTTTTTTTTTACTTTTAGCAAAATCCAACTGCCATGCACGTGGGCATTGTTAGATTCACTATAGCTCTGGTGAATTTTAATGGTGAAGTCCTCTGGAAATCTTCAATAATTGTTGACTGCAGATGTGTCTAGTAGTTCCCATTGATTTTGCTTGTAAAGCGGGGAGAATGGCGCTAGGCTTACTGCACCGTGATGTCACTGCTGGAAGATGGCAGGATATTTGGGCAAAAATGGCCGCTCCCAGACTCTGTGATCACGACGAAAATTATTTAAATTTTTTTAATGATTACTGCTAAATTCCTTAAATCACTGTGAACATATTAGTTTTAGTCTAGATAATGATCCATAGATCATTCCTTCTTTTTCACAGTACGGATGACTAAAGATGCAACTCGCAGCGTCCGTCTCAACTCCACTTCAGAGTTTTAGATTATAAAAGTACCGTATTTTCACGACTATAAGGCGCACTTAAACGTCTTTTTTTTCCCTCAAAATGTGCGGTGCGCCCTATGGTGCGGTGCGCCCTATGTGTGTTGAAACTGCGACTTTTGAGACCACCTCATTGAGGAGATGATGAAAGAGTGGCTGAATGTAAGGAGACCAGGTGTTTTTTTTTCCACTCATCACCATCACCATTAATCTGTAACTCCATGCGTGCCCATCTCACAGCTGATGTGAAAAACATGGGGAAACAAATTAACGCTGTGCTCGCTGTTCAACCGCTGGACATCGGTGTGAACCGGACCCAGCAGGTGCAGCAGAAGCAGCGAGTTTACATGCAAAGTCAATGGTTGACGCGCATATAGGTGCAGCAAAAGGTCCTGCAGCAGCAGGTGCAGCACGTCGGGAAGCGTTTAAGCATCTGACGCACCGCCAACGCGCTGCTGCTGCTCGAGATGGAAAAATTTAAGTTTTGCTGCTGGACGCGCCGCATCAACCAATCAGAGAAGCTGATCTGGGAGCTGACAGCGAGACAGACACAGCGCTCTGATGACATATGATATTAAATGAAAAAGGCTGGATGGATGAGATGATGAAAGCGTGGCTGAGGCAGGTGTATGTGAGGAGAACAGGTGTTTTTTTCCACGCATCACCATCGCAGTTAATCTGTGACTCCGTGCGTGCCCATCTCACAGCTGATGAGAAAAACATGGTGAAACAAATGAACGCTGTGTTGCCGTTATCCCGGGAGGTCTGACAAAGGAACTTCAACCGCTCGACATCGGTGTGAAACGGCCTTTCAAAGTAAGGCTGCGAGCGGCGTGGGAGCGATGGATGACAGACGGAGACCACAGTTTCAGGATAAGTGGAAGGCAGCGCCGGGCAAGTTACGCCACCGTTTGCGGATGGATTGTTGATGCTTGGACTAACGTGTCTGCTGGCTCTGTTGTTCGAGCTTTTGCAAAAGCCGGCATCATTTCTGAGGAGCCGCGCTGCACGGAAAGTGACTCTGACAGCGAAGAAGGGGAAACTGTCATGTCTGATTTAGCGCAGCTGTTTAATTCAGAAACAGAGGATGATGACTTTGATGGGTTTGATTAATACTTTGTAATAAATACATGAATAAAGCACAAACATACTCAGTTTTGCTCCCGTTCTATTTTTCTACTTGAAAACTTAAATCAACAGCAGCCTCTGGGCGGGTCTCCTCCTCTTCAGCGCGGTGGCTGGCAGGTGTTTTTTCATCTAAATAATCTAAATCTTGCAGCTATATTTGCTGTGATCAGTGGGAATAAAGTAGTTTTAATATGTTTTTTAAGTGAGAAAGTCCACCTGAAAACTTAATAATTGCAGTCAGTTCATCCAGATTATCTATTTCTGTCGGAGCCGCTCAGACCCCCACATACCAGCGGTGCACCGACAGCAGAAATCCCTTCAACAGCAGCCTCTAGGCTGGGCAGCCTCCGGGTTCACCTTGGCGGCTGGCAGGTGTTTTTCATCTAAATAATTTAAACTGCAGGCACCAGGATACCGGTGATAAAAGCGAACATATTCCGTCGGCAGGTTTCAGGATTTTAAGTTAATTTAGGAGTGATCACAGCGCTGTGTCATCTGCGATGTGTCTGTCTCACGGCCAGCTGCCAGGTTTGATTAATACTTTGTAATAAATACATGAATAAAGCACAGTCATACTCAGTTTTGACCCCGCTGTATTTTTAAATACGCAGTAGAGGTATTTAAAGGTAGTAGAGGACATGTACCTGTATATAAAAAACGCGCCCTATAGTCCGGTGCGCCTTATGTGTGTGTTAAATACAGAAATGGGACACATAACTGAGAGTGCGCCTTTTAGTACGGTGCGCCTTATGGTCGTGAAAATACGGTATTTAAACTTTATTTTACCTTCTGACTTAAATATTGTTTTAAACGGTTATGAAACCTCCTGATTAACTGTGTTAAGATTTCAGGTAAAAACAGCTAAAAATGACAAATCTAAAGAGCTAGGAATACTTTTAGACGATGTATGAGGAGATGATCAGAGAACAACTCTCATTTTCTCCCTTCCTGTTCAAAAGAGGATCCTCACATGTAAACAAATGGTTTCCATATCGATACAGCAGCACCCCCTAGTGGTTTAAGATAATAATGTCACTTTCCAAACTTTTGGAAACACTGACCCTCAGTCTGAAATAGTAGCACTAATAGGGGGCTTTTAGTAGCCATGGAAACAAGACATTATTTGTACTTCAAGGCTAATTTAATTAATTAATTCACAAAAGTAAGAGAATCCAAATGATGGATAATGAAGTTCTAATGGGCTGTTTGATACTGTCGCCATCTTTTCCACTGATCTCTGAGTTAGCGGCTAATCTGGGAGCTTCGGTGTCCTCACCTGTGGAACATGGACGTGGCCTGCTGGTTTGTGCTTGACTGAGAGCCGTCGTCCTCGTCCCCGTCTGTCTCGCTGTCTTCGGAGTCCTCCTGTTTTCACAAACACAAGCGAGGTTTTTAACCATTCGAATGCACGCATACGAAACTTTCAAAGCCTCCAAGGGGGGAATATCCTCTCCCACCTCTTGCTCCGACTCGGTTCCTGACAACTTCTTGTCCTTCCCTTTGGAGCCAGCTCCCCCGTTCTTGCGACCGGATCCTGGCTTTCGGCCCCTAAAAAATAAAATTAATAAATCAATGTCATTTTTTTTAAAAATAAACGGAAAAGCAGCTGCTTTTTCCTAAAACTATTTCCAAACAGATATTTTCGTTTTTGTAGGAAATCAAAAACACTCAAATTTTCTGCAGAATCTCTGCTTTTATTAAGGACTTACAAAAAATAAAAATACAGCAGCTGAGATTTATGGAGCCGACCAAACAGAAGTTAATCATTTAACTATATAAACTGAATTAAGACTGAAGCTTGTGACTGAAGCAGAAGCAAAAATGACTACATCGGATGTATTTTAAAACTCGGTCAGACAGGGGTGGAGATAGAGGGGTGGCCACGGGGTGGCCATGCTCCCATCCAGGTGATTTGTTGTTGGCCCCTGGGATGCAATTCAATACCCCTGGAAGCAGCAGTACTCCTCTAAGCCTGATGGTGGCAACATGTAGAATTTCCTACTTGGACATTTTAACGCTAACATATTAACCAAAAACTGAATAGAAAAGGAAGCAAAACATCAAGTTATAACAATATAGAGGACTAATGCAGAATGTCTGCTCTTTTCTGAAATAGGTTTTAGGGTTTATAGGGAAGAGTTTGTCTCTGCAGTCACCTAAAATTCTTCTATGTAATTAAAGTCGTAGGGAAGCAGCTGTTCCAACTGTTGCATTTCCGAATTTTCCCGAGTGGTGCACGACTTTACACCAGTGAATAAAGTGAATGTGATTGGTCGTTTATCAAGGAGGCGGGATTGTTGTGGCAGAAGGTTCGCGAGAAGTTTGGTTGTGGCCGGTTTGTCTGAAGCATCTTGCTAACCAGTTAGCATCTTAGTGCTAGCAGGTTCCCAATGGGAAATTCCATTGGGACCAAGTAGCACTAAATTGGTGACTTAGAAACGACACTGTCAAGGAACGCTATGGACAGAGGAAACATGCAAGAGGAGGAGAGTTTAGTGTCGGAGGTCGTGGATGAGTCTCCTCTGTCGTCCATTTTTTATTTAGAGGAGGAAAGCGGGACGAAGATGTTGTGGAAGAGGACGCCAGGGCGGCAGAAGCTTGGTTTGGTGTAGAAGGCTTCCAGCCGTACATGTTTGAGCCCTTGCCTCGCAACGCTGCCAGTTCTGTTAGCTCTACGCCTGCAGAAGACACAGACGTCCATCCCCGTGAACACTGGGACGCAACTCAATGGGAAAGGAAACGATACTTAATTAAACTCATTTTAGCTGCGACATATGAATCAAGATGATATGACCGAAAAAATGTGGTTGTCAGATGACCGTTGATATATGATTAGCCATATTTAGCTGTTCAGGCTGACCCCAGGCTCACACCGACTCCGGTCTTACCGTTGCGGTGCGGTGGGTGCGGCGCCGCAGTGATTCCAAGTCATTAAAAAGACGTAAACCTCTCTCACCGGCTGCTGAGCTGTCCGGCTGTGGTTACCGAGACACTCCGGCGCTATCCTTGCGGCGTGCCGGAGCCCTCCGCAACAAGCTCTCGCAAATATCCTTATTTGGGCCGTGTTATCGCGTGAAGTTACGTGAACTCAAGTGAACTTCTGTTCTCGCGAGTTAAATCTCCGGACCTGTTGCCGGAGCCGCAGAGCCGCACCGCACCGTAGTCAAAAGGGCGGTGTGAGAGGGGGTGTGCGGGAGTTGCGGTCTCCGTCGGCTCGGTAACCGCACCGGAGCCAGTGTGAGCAAGGGGTGACATAGAACTAACTAGATTTTAAGACAGGTTTTCTTTTCTTTAAGTAGAAATTTTCTAAATTTTCTGGTCTGATAAAGAGAACATTTATATAAATGTTTAAGCCAGAATGATTTGACACTGAAATATGATTTCCCTACGACTTTAAAGAAAAAGATCATGGCTTCTTCCATTTAATGTATATATTATGTAGAACCTTAAATGTATAAATATGCACATAGCTTTATCACCCCAAGATTCTGCTCTGTCTTAAGTAATCTATTTGAAAAATATGGATGTTCTATGCGTTCTTTTTCCTGTTGGTTTATTTTGATCAGTATAGACACAAGATGCTTTTGGCACCTATCAGTTTTCATGGTAGGGCACGTTGGTCCCTGAACATTTTCTGGAACCACCGCTGGTTAGGCACCGTGCTAATGTGGCCACCTCTGGAAATCACTTAGCAACCCCAGAAATAATTTCCTAGAAGCTCCACAGCTGTCAGAGCACCTTGGTGATAAGACATGTATCTATGAGAAACGCCTGAACAACAGGAACAGGAACCATCACCCAGAAATCAGACTTTTTCCATGTTTTCTTGGTGTGGGGCTTTAAATAAATTAAAGTTTTTTTTCTGTGGGCTCGCTCACACAGCAGCATGCTCTCCACAGAGTGGGATGCTGTTTCTTTTTCTGTATCGACGTCAATCCTGGAAGGGCGCAAACATTAGCCCACATTAAGCTAAAAAAATAAATCTCACATCCTGTCAACTGAGTTGTAGAATCTTCTACCTATAAATATTTAATTCTCTGTGAAAAAATCCTGATCATTCTTTAATAAGATCCCCATCAAACGGACTTGCAATGTTTTTATTTTAAAGTTAATGTGTGTAGTGGACCTAGTAATGGACTTTTTTTATGTTTTATGTACAAAACAACGAGAAAAACCTGACTAAATCAGCTAAAACAGCACGATTGGGTATGCTGGCCTGACACGGTATGCTGAGCTGACAGAACACCGGTGCGACCGCCTGAAAGGAGCGATCTCCCGTGTTCCTGTAACAAGTACGAAGGGCGCTAACATTAGCCTGCCTTGCTAGCACCGCTCTCGTCTTTTTTCCACCTGCAGGCGCTCTGTAAACGCTGCTGCTCGTGTAACTTTTCACCTTTTATTGAAGAGACCAGGAAACAACGTCTAAGTGCTAAAGTTGCTAATGCTACATCCTCATGAATACAAAGAGACGCGCCAAATCCTCATCAAGGGAAAAAAAAGGGGACAAAGAAGGGTCAGAATGAGCTCTGTTTGTTTAACTCTCCTGTAAACGAGTAAAGATTTATTTAAAATCAATATCAGAAGCAAAACAGCAGCTTATGACTCCTGGAAGAAATTTTTAGATCAGACATATTTGCTTGTATTGAAGTGAACGATGGCAAAAATAAACCAACTTTTTTCATTCAAAACTCACAGTTATTGAATGAATAATTACTCACAGATTTATTGATTTAAACCTGAAGGAAAACATTCCCACAGCATGATGCTGCCATGACCATGTGTCACTGCTGTTCCATGCAGTGGATCGTATTTAACGTTGTCTAAGAAAAAGGTTCAGTTTCATTTCCTTTAACCAGAGCTCTTCTTCTACCCATTTTTTCTCCCCCTGCGTTAATCTGTGTGGGTCCAAACATTCCAGATGTTTAGCTGCATTTCCCTTGAATCAAACACCTTGTATCTGCAACGTTTGACTACATAAATGTAACAATCTGAAGTTGACTTTGCCAGATTGTAACTAAGCAGACAGAAGACATTTTAGTTATTTTTGTTTCACCATTTTCATTTAATTAAATCTAGATTAGTTTTATCTGAAATGTTCCCAAATATGGAAACTTTGTAGAACAAAACAATCTTTTATTTCCAAATCTGAACAGTTTGTCCTGCTGATAATGATGAATTTCTCCCTCCAGCCCTGATTCATGCTGCGCTCTCATTCGCATGTGTCTGAACTACCTGCGTGGGACCTTTTCTCCTGCCCCCTCATTGTGGTTCTCCTCCCCCTCGCCTTGCATGTCCGGGACCGTTGCCACCAGGTCTTTTAAAAAGTCAAACTGTTGCTCCAGCTCGATACATTGCTTTCTGCAAAAAAAAAAAAAAAAAAAAAGATAAACAATTAAACTGACTTATCAAAACATAACATGAACTGTGAGCAAACTAAACTTTAGTTGAACGCTCCTGAAAGGTATAAATAAGTAATTCAGTAATGTTTATTTACATAGCACCTTTCACAGACTTCAAGTTCACAAAGTGCTTCACAAAATTACAAAACAAATAAAAATACATTTACAGTCGAAATATCACCGAAGCAGCAGTTTCATGGAAACCCGAATGCTTCTAAATGCTGGAGAGGATGCGGGGACAAAGAAGCAAATGACTCTCATATTTTCTGATCCTGCATAAAGATGAAGTCTTATTGGAAAGATGTTTTGGAGAAGGTTGAAACAATCTTGGATCTTAAACTCCAACAAGCTACCATGTTTTCGTTGCTCGGAGCTGTTTGAATATGAGTGACAAATATTTACTAAAAATCTTCAGTGCTACAGCCAAGAAACTCATCACTCGGAAATGGCTTCAACCTGAACCACCAACGACAAAGAACTGGCTGGAACTGGTGGATGAAACCCACAAAATGGAAAAGTTAACATTTATGCTGAGACTGCAATCGGATCTTTAGCAAATGGACTAGATTTCTAGAAAACAATAACTGATCAGGTCACTTGTACTGTCACTTCAAAAGCTGCTCAAAAATCCCAAGATTGAAATGTAGATCTGTTTGCTGTTTTCATCCTGTATCTGTTCATCTTTGTCAGAATGTAAGTAATTCTTCTTGTCGACAGTTATTCCGTTCTGTGTTCTGTATGTGATTGTTAAATGAAACACATTCAATAAACATAAAGTATATATTAAAAAAAATAAAATAAATTTACAGTCACAAAAGACATGGTCATAAATCAACACTTAATCTAGTAACTTAAAATGCTTTTTTAAACAAACAAACAAATAGCGGATTCAAGTAACAAGAAGGAAAGTGGAAGATCATTCCACAGTGCCGGTGTTCTGTCAGCTCAGCATACCGCGTCAGGCCAGCACACCCTTATAATACGCATGATCGTTATTAGCTGTTATCAGTCCCATAGAATGGCTTCAGTTTGTCACTAAGTGAATCCTAACCCTAAAGTCATTAATTTTCCCCCTCAGAATCAATTCATCCATTTATGTGTAATCTGAAAATAATTCCAGTAGTTCTTTATGTGCTGTAAAGATAAATAAATAAAAATAAAATGATCCACATGTCGCTCATATTATTTAAAAAAATAAATAAATCCCACATCCTGTCAACTGAGTTGTAGAATCTTCTCCCTATGAATATTTAATTCTCTGTGAAAAAATCCTGATCATATTTTAATAAGATCCCCGTCAAACGGACTTGCAATGTTTTTATTTTAAAGTTAATGTGTGTAGTGGACCTAGTGATGGACGTTTTTGTTGTTTTATGTACAAAACAATGACAAAAAACTGACAAAATCAGCTAAAACAGCGTGATTGGGTATGCTGGCCTGACACGGTATGCTGAGCTGACAGAACACCGGTGCGACCGCCTGAAAGGAGCGATGTCCCATGATCCTGTGATGACTACGAGGGACTGTGAGCAGGTTCAGGTCCTGAGACCTCAGCCTCCGAGAGGCGCTATAAGGACACAATAAGTCTCTAATGTAGGAGGGAGCCTGAAAGGCCCTGAAGGCCAGCACCAGGATTTTAAACTGAAACTGTATAAAAAACAAATAGCAAGGAAGAAATACGCATATGAAACAAAAAGCATTTTGCCCTTTGTATATCAAATCTGGGAAGAAACCGTAAAAACATGCAGTTAGTCTGCAGCTGAAGCAGTTGAACCGAAACAGAGAAATCCAGAAACTCACAGATGCGATGTCGTCATCGTCTTTGCGTTCCTGGACTGGGTGACGTGGCAGGCCTTCGTAAGCAATGACTCCAGAAAGAGCTCCAGAGCTCTCGCTGAGGGTTCATTTAAGGAAATTACATTTGCTGCAGGTCAAAGTGCCTCAGAATGATAACTCTACTTAAACTTAAGACATTAGGTGAAATAATGCAGATCAGAAAATGCTTTGTTCTCTAAGGTTTGAGTTCTGCATTAAATAAACTCTGTTTGATTGTTAGTTCTTTCTAAACAATGACACATAACTAAAACATGAGACAGGGGAAGCGGTGACCTAGTGGTTAGGGCATAGAGCTTGAAGTCCTGGGGTTGTGAGTTTGAAACCCACTCCCACAGACTGCCACTCTCCAAAGTGAGATCAATAAAGTTCAATTACAACTAATTATAATCTATCTTGCATAGATAAACAATTGAACCAGAAGGATACAGATAATAACAGGGACTGCTGCAGCCACTTTGCCTATTTCTTCATCTGTCTGCATGATCTTCTTGATCCTCGCCTGAAAAAGAACAGATCTGATGTGATTTCTGTGGAAACTATCAGCAAATTCCAACTTTCAAACATTGTTTCTGCATCAGCATCCAGGATGAGAACATAAAAAACTATGCAGATTATTAACTACAGATTAAATGTAGTAAATGCAGGATGTAGCATATAGCATTGACAGTTATGCACACACAAAAGAAGCACGAATTCTTCTAAAATACATCCAAGTTAGCTGTGAATGCTAAAAACAACGACTTCGGGTAGCTAACTTGAGACAAAAACATAAAAATAAGTAAATTATTGAACTCAGACGACATTAGGGTTTATCTAAATGGAATTTTGAACATTCAAGAAAACAGTCTTCCTAAAATATTTGGCTATTTTCGCTCTTTGAGCAACAAAAGGAACTCAAGTTAAGCTAAAGTAGCTAGCCTCTCATACAACAGTTAGCTAAAGTTAGCTAGTGTTGACGCCGGTAGAAATAAATATTTTAACTTACCGGAGGGAATCTGGCGTTATATTTCTTCTTTTTGCTTGGCATACTTAAATAAATTTGTGGTTAAAGTAAAATAAAATACAAAAAAACCCTCAGGATTTTAACCCTATTCCATAAACAGTCCTCCTCTTGCTGTCCCGGCTAACCTGTTAGCACGCTGCCGTTAGCGGGTCCGTGTCAGTTTGGTTCCGCTGGATCTCAGAGCCTCAAACAAACTCACTCTGTTCCGCAGAAAAAATCACATCTCACTTTATAATTACATCTTTCATTATGATGAATTATATTTTTTACAATTACTTTAAAAGAAACTTAGTTTCTGAGTTTTTTTTTTTTTTGTAGTTTTTTATTGTAAATGTTAAAAAAGTTACAAAACCGGTGTTTATTTTATTTATATTTTTTGCATCGAAATATACGGGGCGGGGGAAGTCAACTGATTTTTTAATTTTATTTGAATTTAACATGTGAAAAAAGTCAGAATTCTGACTTTTTTTCGCAGAATTCTGACTTTTTTCTCAGAATTCTGACTTTTTTCTGAGAATTCTGACAGATAACAAACATGTTAGCATCAAGCCATAGCCATGTCTGTTTAGAGACTAGCTCTCTTGTTTTAATGACCTTCTGCTCCTCCATTAATGAGGGGACCCCTCGGCCACGTAAAAAGTTGCCTAATTCCATCATTTTCCAACAATGTGTTCCTGTTCCTCTCAAACAACTCACATCTTTGTCAGTGAAGCTGAGTGCTCCCACATCTCTTCATTCATGGTGCCCATCTACATTAAGATCCAAAATTCTGAGATTAAAGTCAGAATTCTAAGAAGGAAAAAAAACAGAATTCTGAGAAAAAAAAGTCAGAATTCTGACTTTTTTCCCATATTAAACTGAAATAAAATTTAAAAATCAGTTAACTATTTTTTTTCAATGGTCCTAATCCTCTTCTGTAGAAATAGGTATAATTTTAAAAGGTTTTAAAATGTTAAGGAGTAGGACGTAGCTTTGATGATTGAAGGGGGGACACTTATTAGAGTAACACCAGGGCAGCGTCAGCAGCTGAAGTTGGTGTTTGAATCAGATCTGAGAAAAGGGCTATTTCACCGCCTTTTACCAATCATGGAATATGTCTTCAGCTTTAACAATGATGATAATAACAATAATAATAATAATAATAATTGATGTCAAATTATCTAGCTAAACTAAGCAGTGTCCCCTGGCTTTGCTGGTTCTGGGTTGTCACAAACCAAAGCAGATGACAGAGATCAAGGAGAAGCCATTTTGCATTAAATTTTAAATATAGCAGGAGAGTCTTATTTCCTCATTACCTGAACTCTTTTCTCACATTGGAGAAATTACCTCTCTGCATTTAACCCATCCACTTTGTTAGCAGTGGGCTGCCACTGTGCGGCGCCCAGGGAGCAGTGTGAGGTTAAGGGTCTTGCTCAGGGACCCAGAGTTCAGGCTGTGGGGATCGAACCCGGTCCTTACAACCTCCTCAGAGCACAGCGCCCTGCTCTAACCATTAGACCAACACTTGTTCTGACTCAAGTAAATTCATGGGATAGAAGAAATCACAAAATACACCGATCAGATTAAAAATTGGATGGTTCTCAGACAAATTCAACAAAAAAAAACTTTATTTATTCAAAAAAATTTTCTGCATTTTGACTACTTTAGACAAATATAAAATAAAATACATATATTAAAAACTGTGAAAATGTATTGTGAATTTCCCCACATACGTTATCTCAATTATCTCATCATTTTTCATAGTTTGCTCTTCATCGACTCGTTTTGTAGCTAGATCTATTCAGAGGTGTCAGAAGTATTCATGTTTGACAGCTTCTATGGAGCCGTCTGTTCTATGGAGCTGTCTGTTTGAGCAGTGGCTTATCCGTAATGAGAGGAAGCGGCTGGATCAGCTGATCAGGAAGGCCAGCTCTGTGATTGCAGAATCTGTTAGTTCAATCTAACGTTCTGCTCTCTCTGCTTTTTTAGCTAGTAGCTTCGCCTCCTCTGTTCCTGTTTGGCTGTGACTCCATCCTGGAGAGAAATTTCAGCTGTGCTTCTTCCATCAACACCTTTGCTGGAGATCGGCCTGTTTTCCAGTGTAGTCCTGTTTCTCTGACCGTGACTGGCTGAATGTGTTCTCTTCATCCTCTAACATGGGAGCTGGCTCGGTGCTCGTCTGCCTGACTGTGTGTTTCCTGGACGGGGCCGCCTTTTATAGCTACTTTTTGTGTCTCTGCTTCTGTCTCCTTGAACCCCAGTCGGCCTCAGCAGATGGCCGCTCACACTGAGCCTGGTTCTGCTGGAGGTTTCTTCCTGTTAAAAGGGAGTTTTTCCTCTCCACTGTCGCTACAAGCATGCTTAGTGTGAGGGATTGCATACAGTTAAACAGATCATATAGTCAAATGGATTCAGTTTTCTATCTAAGGAAAACCAGTTGATTGCATTGACTCATTGACTCTACAGCAATCCCTCACACTAAGCATGCTTGTAGCGACAGTGGAGAGAAAAAACTCCCTTTTAACAGGAAGAAACCTCCAGCAGAACCAGGCTCAGTGTGAGCGGCCATCTGCCGAGGCCGACTGGGGTTCAAGGAGACAGAAGCAGAGATACAGAAAGAATGTAAAACATAATTAGGTCAGCAGATAAGACTTGTACAGATCTAGAGTGAGGAAAAGGGAAGATAACATCTGTGCAGATCCCACACATCCTGCACACAAACAGCTTGTTTTCCTTTTTTACATATTACAAAAAAAAAGAAAAAATTCACACACATATTCATATATTCTTAATTTATTTATTATTAACATCTATATGCTGCGAGCTGATTCTGTTTGTATTGAATGTACAGCTTCTTGGTTTGGCCTTGTGTATAAAAATTCCCCAGAAAATGGGGAGATTCATCGACTAGAATACAAGAAGGGCTCTACAATTCAGGTGTGTAAAAACACTCTGAAATCTCTATTTAAAAAAGCAAAAATTTAAAATGTTCTTAGCAACAGAAATGAAGTTGTTCTAAACATTCTTGTCTGTCAGTTGGAACAAATAAATAAACAAAAAAAACAAAAACAAATTATTAATCCAAAGGGAAATTAAATGTTATACATTTTATTGTAGGGTTTTCTTTAATAAGCTGGATATGCTAATAATGTCTATAGGCAGAAGGGTGCAGCTGCTTGGTCTTATATGGCCCCACAGCATGATGCTGCCACCACTATGTCGTAAGTTTTTTAGGATAATTATCATTGATGATGTGTGAGTTTATCACACCTTGGTATTGGCTGCCTGCAACTTGTCAGAACTAATGTTTTCCACATTAGTTTAACTTATTAAGACAGTTTCTCTGTCTGGATATACAGTAATAATTACGGAAGAGGATTAGGGCCACTGGAAAAAAAAAAAAAAAAGTTAACTGATTTTTTTTTTTTTTTTTCAGTATAGTATGGGAAAAAAGTCAGAATTCTGACTTTAATCTCAGAATTCTGACTTTTTTCTCAGAATTCTGACTTTTTTCTCAGAATTCTGACTTTTTTCTCAGAATTCTGACTTTTTTCTCAGAATTCTGACTTTAATCTCAGAATTCTGACTTTTTTCTCAGAATTCTGACTTTAATCTCAGAATTCTGACTTTAATCTCAGAATTCTGACTTTTTTCTCAGAATTCTGACTTTAATCTCAGAATTCTGACTTTAATCTCAGAATTCTGACTTTTTTCTCAGAATTCTGACTTTTTTCTCAGAATTCTGACTTTTTTCTCAGAATTCTGACTTTAATCTCAGAATTCTGACTTTAATCTCAGAATTCTGACTTTTTTCTCAGAATTCTGACTTAAATCTCAGAATTCTGACTTTTTTCTCAGAATTCTGACTTTTTTCTCAGAATTCTTTTTTCTCAGAATTCTGACTTTAATCTCAGAATTCTGACTTTAATCTCAGAATTCTGACTTTAATCTCAGAATTCTGTCTTTTTTTCTCAGAATTCTGACTTTTTTTTATTGTCAGAATTCAGTCAGAATTCCGAGATTAAACTCAGAATTCTGACTTTTTTCCCATGTTAAACTGAAATAAAATGTAAAAATCAGTTTACTTTTTTTTTTTTTTCAGTGGCCCTAATCCTCTTCCGTAAGTAATCTTCATTCTGTACGTGACAAAGATTTGGAAGTGGAATGAGCGAATGAAGTGTAATATTTTGATAAAGCAGCAGCCATGGATGTCTAATCATCTGCAAACGTGTATGGTGTAAAATAAGATGTGGCAGACTGAAGATGTACAGGTGCTGGTCATAAAATTAGAATATCATGAAAAAGTAGATTGATTTCAGTAATTCCATTTAAAAAGTGAAACTTGTATATTATATTCATACATTACATACAAACTCATATATTTCAGAAGTTTATTTTGTTTAATTTTGATGATTACAAATGACAACAAATGAAAATCTCAAATTCATCATATCAGAAAATTAGAATATTGTGAAAAGGTTCAAAATTGATGGCCCCTGGTGCCACACTCTAATCAGCTAATTAACTCAAACCACCTGCAAAAGCCTTTAAATGGTCTTTCAGTCTAGTTCTATAGGCTACACAATCATGGGGAAGACTGCTGACTTGACAGTTGTCCAAAAGACGACCATCGACACCTTGCACAAGGAGGGCAAGACACAAAAGGTCATCGCTAAAGAGGCTGGCTGTTCACAGAGCTCAGTGTCCAAGCACATTAATAGAGAGGCGAAGGGAAGGAAAAGATGTGGTCGAAAAAAGTGTACAAGCAAGAGAGATAACCGCACCCTGGAGAGGATTGTGAAACAAAACCCCTTCAAAAATGTGGGGGAGATTCACAAAGAGTGGACTGCAGCTGGAGTGAGTGCTTCAAGAACCACCACACACAGACGTATGAAAGACATGGGTTTCTGCTGTCGCATTCCTTGTGTCAAGCCACTCTTGAACCACAGACAGCGTCAGAAGCGTCTTGCCTGGGCTAAAGAGAAACAGGACTGGACTGCTGGTGAGTGGTCCAAAGTCATGTTCTCTGATGAAAGTAAATTTTGCATTTCCTTTGGAAATCAAGGTCCCAGAGTCTGGAGGAAAAGAAGAGAGGCACTTCATCCACGTTGCTTGAAGTCCAGTGTAAAGTTTCCACAGTCAGTGATGGTTTGGGGTGCCATGTCATCTGCTGGTGTTGGTCCATTGTGTTTTCTGAGGTCCAGGGTCAACGCAGCCACATACCAGGAAGTTTTAGAGCACTTCATGCTTCCTGCAGCTGACCAACTTTTTGGAGATGCAGATTTCATTTTCCAACAGGACTTGGCACCTGCACACAGTGCCAAAGCTACCAGTACCTGGTTGAAGGACCATGGTATCCCTGTTCTTAATTGGCCAGCAAACTCTCCTGACCTTAACCCTATAGAAAATCTATGGGGTATTGTGAAGAAGAAGATGCAATACACCAGACCCAACAATTCAGAAGAGCTAAAAGCCACTATTAGAGCAACCTGGGCTATCATAACACCTGAGCAGTGCAGCAGACTGATCGACTCCATGCCACGCCGCATTGCTGCAGTAATACAGGCCAAAGGAGGCCCAACTAAATACTGAGTGCTGTACATGCTCATACTTTTCATGTTCATACTTTTCAGTTGGCCAACATTTCTATAAATCCTTTGTTTTTATTGGTCTTCAGTAATATTCTAATTTTCTGATATGATGAATTTGAGATTTTCATTTGTTGTCATTTGTAATCATCAAAATTAAACAAAATAAACATCTGAAATATATGAGTTTGTATGTAATGTATGAATATAATATACAAGTTTCACTTTTTAAATGGAATTACTGAAATCAAGCTACTTTTTCATGATATTCTAATTTTATGACCAGCACCTGTAAATGCCTTTTTAACTGTTAATTGGGGCCACTTCCTGTGAGGTGAGCAGCTGCCTTCTGGAACCCAAAACAGTTTCTCTGATCTGGGTAACATTACAGTTTCTATCAGAATCTGTTGTCATGTCTCCTGGTTATTTAATACACAAAAGTTATGAAGTGTTATTTAAAGAGTTTGTCCCCAGGGATCTCTTTTTAGGAGAGATAGAGCATGAGGGTGCACACACAGAGCCTATCATTAACAGATTGGGAGGGTTTATTAAAAGTACAATTTATATCATACCTCCACCTCCTGCCAAAAAACAACAACAAAATTTATAAAATAAGGGTGAAAAAAGTGAGGCACTTAAGAATAATTGAGGCCAGGTTTGACTAGTCTAACTACTTTAGATCTTGATTTATGACTTTGTAGCAATAAACGACTCCAAATCAGAGGCCATCTTCACCAGCAGCGCCTGAGTGGAGGAGCCGCTGGCTAACAACTGCAGCTACAACAGGTAGCATCAGCACATGATTTAAGATCGATGTCTCATAGCTTGGTTGGTCTACACTCTGTTTGTGCATTTAGTAACGCCTGATGTGTTCAACTCTTACCGTTCGTTGAAGCCTGGGGCTTTAAAACTGTTAAAAAGTTGTGAAAGTGGCTAACTCCGTGTGCTAGCTGCAGCAGGAAGGCGGAGGTAAACTTTGTTTCACTTTTAACCACAGCCGTTCATGCTCCTGCTGTGATTAAAGACAGTGGCTGGTTGCTCTTCGTTAGGAAGGCTGGTTGCTAGTTAGCATTGGCTCCTGCTGTGATTAAAGCCAACAGCTGTCTGCTCTCCGTTTGCAAGGCTGGATGCTAGTTAGCATTAGCTCCTGGTGTGATTAAAGCTAAAAGCTTTCCGCTCCCCGTTTGGAAGGCTGGATGCTAGTTAGCATTAGCCCCTGGTGTGAATAAAGCCAACAGCTGTCTGCTCCCTGTTTAGAAGGCTGGATGCTAGTTAGCATTAGCCCCTGGTGTGAATAAAGCCAACAGCTGTCTGCTCCCCGTTTGGAAGGCTGGATGCTAGTTAGCATTAGCTCCTGCTGTGATTAAAACCAACAGATGTCTGCTCTCCGTTTGGAAGCCTGGATACTAGTTAGAGTTAGCTCCTGGTGTAATTAGAGCCAACAGCTGTCTGCTCCCAGTTGTTGGAGGCTGGATGCTAGTTAGCAGTAGCTCCTGGGTGTAATTAAAGCCAACAGCTGTCTGCCTTACGTTTAGAAGGCTGGATGTTAGCTAGCATTAGCTCCTGGTGTGATTAAAAACCAACAGCTGTCTACTCTGCATTAGGAAGGCTGGATGCTAGTTAGCATTAGCTCCTGGTGTGATTAAAGCCAAAGGCTGGTTGCTCTTCATTAGGAAGGCTGGATGCTAGTTAGCATTAGCTCCTGGTGTGATTAAAGCCAACGGCTGTCTGTTTTCCGTTTGGAAGGCTGGATGCTAGTTAGCATTAGCTCCTGGTGTGATTAAAGCCAGCAGCTGTCTGCTTTCCGTTGCTGGATGCTAGCTAGCATTAGCTCCTGGTGTGATTAAAGCCAGCAGCTGTCTGCTTTCCGTTGCTGGATGCTAGCTAGCATTAGCTCCTGGTGTGATTAAAGCCAATTGCTGGTTGCTCTTTATTAGGAAGGCTGGATGCAAGTTAGCATTAGCTCCTGGTGTGATTAAAGCCAGCAGCTGTCTGCTTTCCGTTGCTGGATGCTAGCTAGCATTAGCTCCTGGTGTGATTAAAGCCAATTGCTGGTTGCTCTTTATTAGGAAGGCTGGATGCAAGTTAGCATTAGCTTCTAGTGTAATTAAAGCCAACGGCTGTCTGCTCTCCATTTGGAAGGCTGGATGCTAGTTAGCATTAGCTCCTGGTGTAATTAAAACCAACAGCTGTCTGCTTTCCGTTGCTGGATCCTAGTTAGCATTAGCTCCTGGTGTAATTAAAACCAACAGCTGTCTGTTCTCTGTTTGGAAGGCTGGATGCTAGGAAGTATTAGCTTCTGGTGTAATTAAAGCCAACGGCTGTCTGCTCTCTGTTTGGAAGGCTGGATGCTAGTTAGCATTAGCTCCTGGTGTAATTAAAGCCAACGGCTGTCTGCTCTCTGTTTGGAAGGCTGGATGCTAGTTAGCTTTAGCTCCTGGTGTAATTAAAACCAACAGCTGTCTGCTCTCCAGCAGGATTGGTTCACCGGCAGCACCATGGAGGAGGAAGCCGAGCCAGAGCCCCTCTTCCCCTCAGACAGCTACGCCGCCGAGGCCTTGGCAGCGGACATGGACCCCTGGATCGTGTTCGACGCCAGAAGGACTCCCAGATCCGAGTTTGACGGCTGGCTGGAGAGCAACAGACCATCACAGGTGCACCGCTTCGGTAACGAGCAGAGCGGCCTGGGTCCGGTGGGCTGGATCTCCATACTGGGTCCCAACCACACCCCTGACCCGGAGGACGTGACGGGCCTCCAGGAGAGCTGGGAGAAGCTGCTGGCGAGTTCCCGGCCGGTCACCTTCCAGACCGTGAAGGAGCTGGCCCTCAACCACAGGGTGTTGTCCGGGAAGTGGCTCATGTACCTGGACACCGGCTTCAAAGTGGATCACGCGTGGGAGTGCGTGGCCAGAGCGACCTTAGATGGCAGAATCCGCAGCGCTAAAGTGAGTCCCTATGATCCCAACGGTGATCCCAGGCATGTGATATGCGTCTATAACCAGGACTTCACAGATGAAGGGGAGGTTGTTGGGCTGGACTCCTTCATCCGGGCCTCAGGGGTCAAATGTCAGCTCTCCTATAAGCCAGATGTTTACACCTACCTGGGAATCTACAGGAACAACCGCTGGAAGCTCTGCCCCACCATCTATGAGAGCAAGTTTGACTTGGAGTGCGTTCCCAGGCGCTCCCACATCATCAACAAAGTCACCAACCTGGAAGTCACATAAAGGAGAAAAGGCCTTTTCTGGACCCGTTTGATGGGATATAATCTCAGATCATTTTTCTTTTCTGTTAAAACAAACATTTAATGCATATTTTCTGACTTCTTTGTCTGGTTTCAGGTTGGATTTAAATACACAATTTCAGTTTACTTTCACCAACTTAGAGAGCTTAAAATCCAACATTTAAGAGTTCAGTGTTTACAAATAAAAACACGCATTTGAAAACAGTTTTTTTCCTCTATACAGGTGCTGGTCATAAAATTAGAATATCATGAAAAAGTAGATTGATTTCAGTAATTCCATTTAAAAAGTGAAACTTGTATATTATATTCATACATTACATACAAACTCATATATTTCAGATGTTTATTTTGTTTAATTTTGATGATTACAAATGACAACAAATGAAAATCTCAAATTCATCATATCAGAAAATTAGAATATTGTGAAAAGGTTCAAAATTGATGGCCCCTGGTGCCACACTCTAATCAGCTAATTAACTCAAACCACCTGCAAAAGCCTTTAAATGGTCTTTCAGTCTAGTTCTATAGGCTACACAATCATGGGGAAGACTGCTGACTTGACAGTTGTCCAAAAGACGACCATCGACACCTTGCACAAGGAGGGCAAGACACAAAAGGTCATCGCTAAAGAGGCTGGCTGTTCACAGAGCTCAGTGTCCAAGCACATTAATAGAGAGGCGAAGGGAAGGAAAAGATGTGGTCGAAAAAAGTGTACAAGCAAGAGAGATAACCGCACCCTGGAGAGGATTGTGAAACAAACCCCATTCAAAAATGTGGGGGAGATTCACAAAGAGTGGACTGCAGCTGGAGTGAGTGCTTCAAGAACCACCACACACAGACGTATGAAAGACATGGGTTTCTGCTGTCGCATTCCTTGTGTCAAGCCACTCTTGAACCACAGACAGCGTCAGAAGCGTCTTGCCTGGGCTAAAGAGAAACAGGACTGGACTGCTGGTGAGTGGTCCAAAGTCATGTTCTCTGATGAAAGTAAATTTTGCATTTCCTTTGGAAATCAAGGTCCCAGAGTCTGGAGGAAAAGAAGAGAGGCACTTCATCCACGTTGCTTGAAGTCCAGTGTAAAGTTTCCACAGTCAGTGATGGTTTGGGGTGCCATGTCATCTGCTGGTGTTGGTCCATTGTGTTTTCTGAGGTCCAGGGTCAACGCAGCCACATACCAGGAAGTTTTAGAGCACTTCATGCTTCCTGCAGCTGACCAACTTTTTGGAGATGCAGATTTCATTTTCCAACAGGACTTGGCACCTGCACACAGTGCCAAAGCTACCAGTACCTGGTTGAAGGACCATGGTATCCCTGTTCTTAATTGGCCAGCAAACTCTCCTGACCTTAACCCCATAGAAAATCTATGGGGTATTGTGAAGAAGAAGATGCAATACACCAGACCCAACAATTCAGAAGAGCTAAAAGCCACTATTAGAGCAACCTGGGCTATCATAACACCTGAGCAGTGCCACAGACTGATCGACTCCATGCCACGCCGCATTGCTGCAGTAATACAGGCCAAAGGAGGCCCAACTAAATACTGAGTGCTGTACATGCTCATACTTTTCATGTTCATACTTTTCAGTTGGCCAACATTTCTATAAATCCTTTGTTTTTATTGGTCTTCAGTAATATTCTAATTTTCTGATATGATGAATTTGAGATTTTCATTTGTTGTCATTTGTAATCATCAAAATTAAACAAAATAAACATCTGAAATATATGAGTTTGTATGTAATGTATGAATATAATATACAAGTTTCACTTTTTAAATGGAATTACTGAAATCAATCTACTTTTTCATGATATTCTAATTTTATGACCAGCACCTGTACATGTTTGTGGTTTTTATTTGCAAAAGAAAAAACCTTTTTGGAATCTAGACAGAGTTAGTCATTCATCGGATACATCTGATAATATATATGTACAAGAACTGAATTATACATTGAACTAAACGTGTCGCTACAGTCTGAAACGTGAGTTTTACCACAGTCTGTGTTCATGTACAAAAAAAACAAAACAAAAACAGCTGTCAGATGAGCAGAGGAGTAAATCCTCGGTTTAGTTAGCATACAGAGTTATTTACATGTAGCCCTTCATTTGGTTTCCTGCCACTTTCCGTTCAAATTAGGCACATAAATCTGGATTATCACCAAACATAATCAATACTTATAATGAAATCCGCCCAGGTCATCGTTTCGTCGCTGGATAGAAGCGTTGATGGATTTCTATCCGTCAAATTATCTGCCCGTTTCTTTACTTCAAAGCAAAAAGGCAGATCTGATCAATGAATGGTTTAAAAACATTATAAACATGTTCAGAACAACCTTCAAGCTCTACCGCCTTCAATTGGCGTCCACGGTTCGAAGTTCCGAAAGGTGGAAAGTCCTGGAGTGTCCCTTCCCCCACTTGTTGCTGCGCATTTTAAGGTCATTCAAAGGAAAACAAATCTCCAATTTGAACTTAATTTTGATTGAAGCGGTATTGATGCCATGGTATTATTTTGTTTAAACCAGGATTAGAGAAGGATATTGGGACAACCCCATACAGGCTTATGCCGTTTTTTTTCAAAAGCTAAATACAGTTCTATGGGGGGTTTTTAATTCGGTGACAGTATTTCTATGTTTGTCCACAGCGAGACCTTCTGCTACCTCTGTCTCTTCGTTCCAGTCCATCCTCTTCCTGTTGGGATATAAAAACGGTTTGTAAAGAGAGAAAAACTTTAGGTCGGGTGTCCTGACACGAAGCCGGGTTGGCTCCCGCTGTTAAAAATGGAAATGAGGCGCTCTTCATCGGCAGACATCAGGACGTCCAAGTCGTCCAGCACCGTGGGCTGCTGGTTGTTGTTGGACGCCAAGACGATCATGTCCTCGCTCCGGAGCAGGTTAGCGATGCTGTTGGGGTAATTCATGTAGGTGCTTCCTGGGTTGCTGACGGAGTCGGAGGGGTTCTGGGATGCAGCGCTGCTCTGGGCGGAGCCGGAGAGGCCCCCGTGGTGGGAGGAGGATAGCATGGACGTAGCGGGCGCCGGGTTCAGAAGGTCCTCAAAATCATCCATGTTTAGGCTGTCCAGGGTGCCGGGGACCTGGGCGTCGGAGAAGCTGGGGAACTCCGGGATGTCGTCGTCTGCCAGTGGGGCCTCCACTCTAAACTGCTGCTCCTGCAGGGGGAAGGAGCCCCCGGTTTGTGAGGGGGCCCCCTGAGGAGCCGCGGACTCCTGGGCCATGGTAGAGGAGATGTTGGGGAAGAACTCGTGCAGGTCTGACAGGTTAACCGTAGAGTAGTCCTGGTTGGCTGTGGAGGAGGTGGTGGTGGTGGTAGAGGAGGAGGAGCCCGACGCTGAGCTCATGGTGAAGGTGGGGGCCGGGTTTGGTTTGGGCTGAGGGCCCAGCTTCAAACTGTCCATCATCTTCCATGTTTGGCTTGTCGCTGAAGGGACGGATGAAGACGCCTCCGCCTTGGGTAAAAACAGGTGGCCCGGTTGGCCGTACGAGAAGGGTGTCTGGGTTTTCATCCCACTGCTGCTGGCGGGCACCTCAGCTACTAGAAAAACAAAAAGCTATTAGATTTACACCAAAGAACGACTGATTGGTTCAATGTTTGGTATTGTTTTGAAAAAATAAGAAAAACATTCAGAATGAAAATGCTAATTAGCTTCTAGCGGGACAAGCTGCGGACCAAACGGCTAATTTTCTAAAGGACTTAAGAATAAAACCCACCTGCTTGTGTGTTCATTAAGGGCAGCTTAGCGGGGACTGTTCTCCGCGCCTGGTTGATCTGCCGCCTCTCTTGTGAAACAGGCACTAAAATTTAAAGAGACATGCTGTCAGTGGAGAGTTACGGAAGAGGATTAGGGCCACTGGAAAAAAAAAAAAAAAGTTAACTGATTTTTTTTATTTTATTTCAGTATAGTATGTGGAAAAAGTCAGAATTCTGACTTTATTCTCAGAATTCTGACTTTATTCTCAGAATTCTGACTTTATTCTCAGAATTCTGACTTTTTTCTCAGAATTCTGACTTTTTTCTCAGAATTCTGACTTTTTTCTCAGAATTCTGAATTCTTTTATTGTCAGAATTCAGTCAGAATTCTAACTTTAATTTCAGAATTCTGAGGAAAAAAGTCAGAATTCTGAGGAAAAAAGTCAGAATTCTGACTTTAATCTCAGAATTCTGACTTTTTTCCCATGTTAAACTGAAATAAAATTTAAAAATCAGTTTACTTTTTTTTTTCAGTGGCCCTAATCCTCTTCCATGGAGAGTGGATGTAAACACCGTCAGAAATAAAAACGGGAGGCGTTCCCGGTGACGTACCGGTAGATAACATGGATCCCAGCTTCAGGCTCTGGAACATGTCGCCCGTCCGCTTCCTCTTCTCACTCAGCCTGTATTCATCTGGTTGGAATAAGACGCAGTTAAGACTTTTTATACGTTTCACATCATCTTTGTTTGGAATAAATGAGGCGGTCTATTACCTGGGTCGGCAGGTAGGTAATGGAAGTCCATGGGCTCGCTGACCTCCCGGTCCGAGGGCCGTCTGAGCTGCATCTTCACCTTGATGGGCTCGCTGAGGTTAGTGTCGCGATAGGGAGGAGTGCGGAACACGATGGCCACCTGCCGGTGGACGTCGGCCTGAGAGAAGGTGCCCTTCCCCTCCCACGAGTCCTGGAAGAAGCGAACCTCGATGTCCTCTGCAGAAGAGCAACCAGGAATAAAAAAACTGCATAAAAGAATCCACTACATTACATCGCCACAGAAAAGTAATCACACTACTTTAAATGTAGAGTTTATCACAAACAAAGAATATTTTAGCTTTATTTTTAAATTGGTGTTTTTTATAACCAACAAAAATTGGATAAATGGGATTTTTTTTGTTCATAAAATGTTGAGTTAGCATACATTTATGGGGTGAACTTTGTTCCATTATTGTTGCAAGCAAGGAAGATTCTATAAATGAAAACTTGAAGAAAAAAAAGAAATTAAACTGAAAAAATTAAACAAAAAGGTACGTTTTTCTGGGGGAAGTCCCATAGACCGACTATAAAACTGTGGTTGCAACAGATGGCATCTACCCTCCCTCTGGAAAAGATTACATATGTATTAAAGGGTAAACAGAATCAGTTTGAATCCATATGGAATCCCTTTATTAAGTATGTCCAACATCTGAACTTCTTGGAAGACGGCGCAAATGACTGAAGATTCTGCTC